TTATCCATAATTTGTTATGATCCAAACAGTCAATTGCTTTTGCATAGTCAATAAAACACAAGTAAACATCTTTCTTGTGTTCTTTGTTTTCAGCCAAGATCCATCTGACATCAGGAATGATATCCATCATTCCATGTCCTTGCACTTATGAAAGTTCCCTGTCAATATACTGCTGGTACCATTTTTGAATTATCTTCAGCAAAATTTTGCTTGTGTGTGATATTAATGATATTGTTCAATAATTTCCACATTCTATGAGATCATCTTTCTTAGTAATGGGTCCAAATATGGATCTCTGCCAGTTGGCCAGGTAACTGGTTTATAATTTTCTTGGCATAGATGAGTGAGTGCCTCCAGTGCAGCATGCATTTGTTGTAACATCTCATTCTGTCAGTTCCTGAAGTCTTATGTTATGCCAATTCCTTCAGTGAGACTCCAATTTCTTCCTTCAATACCACTGATTCTTGAGCATATGCCACCTCCTGAAATAGATTAACATCAACCAGTTCTTTTTGGTGCAGTGACTGTGTATTCCTTCCATCTTCTTTTGATGCTTTCTGTATCATTCAATAATTTTGCCTATAAAATCTTTCAATATTGCAACTGGAAGCTTAATTTTTTTCTTCAGTTCTTTCAGCTTGAGAAATGCTGAGCGTATTCTTCCCTTTTAGTTTTCTAACTGCAGGTCTTTGCATATTTCTTTATGATAATTGAGTTTGTCTCAAGCTGCTCTTTGAAATCTTCTGTTCAGCTCTTTGATCTTGCCATTTATTCTATTTGCTTTAGCTACTCTCCATTCAAGAGCAAGTTTCAGAGTATCTTCTTACATCCATTTTGATCTTTTCTCCTTTCCTGTCTTTTTAATGACCTTTTACTTTCTTCATATATGATGTTCTTGATATCAACCCAAAACTCATTGAGTTTTAGGTCACTGGTGTTCATTGCTTCAAATATATTCTTCAGATGGTCTCTAAATTCAGGTAGGATATCAACAAGGTCATATTTTGGCTCTCATGGGCTTTTTTAAATTGTTTTCAGCTTCAACCTGAACTTGCATATGAGCAATTGATGGTCTTTTCCACAGTCAATTCCTGGCCTTGTTTTGGCTGAAGCTTCTCCATCACCTCTTTCCACAAATGTAGTCAATGTGATTTCTGTGTATTCCATTAGGTGAGGTCCACATGCATAGCTGCCGTTTATGTTGTTAAAAAAAGGTATTTGCATTGAATAAGTTGTTCGTCTTGCAAAATTCTACCATGCAATCTCCAGCATCATTTCTATATTTTCCAACTACCAAAGATTCTTCTTTGTTTCCAACTTTTGCATTCCAATTACTAGTAATAATCACTACATTTTAACATTTTCAATGTCTTCATCTTCTTCTTTAGTGGTTGGTGCATAAATTTGAGTAATAGTAGTATTGACTTGTCTTTCTTATAGACATGGATATTATCCTATCCCTGACAGCACTGTATTTCAAGATAGATCTTGAAACATTCTTTTTGACAATGAATGTGAAACCATTCCTATTTAATTTATTTTACTGGCATAGTAGACTATATGATTTTCTTATTCAAAATGGCCAAAACCAATCGATTTCAGCTCACTGATTCCAGGATGCCAATCTTTATACATTTAATTCATTTTTGACAACTTCCAGTTTTCTTAAAGTCACACTTTATACATTCCATTGCCAATTATTAATGGATATCTGCAGCTATGTCTTCACATTTTGAATTATGCCTCATCAGCAAATGGAGGCCTCGAAAGTTTTACTCCATCCATGTCATTAAGTTTGACTCTACTTTGAGGAGGCAGCTCTTATGTAGTAGTATTTTCAGTGTTTTCCAAACTGAGGAGCTCATCTTCTGACAGTATATCAGACAATGTTTCAGGGTTATTCATCAAGTTTTTCAGTAATCTCTCAGACAGTATTTCACTGCTATTCATAAGGTTTTTATTGGCTAAGTTTTTCAAAAGTGGATGCCTCCATCCTTCTTCCCAGTCTGTCTTAGCCTGGAAGCTCTGCTGAAACCTTTTCACCATGGGTGACCCTGCTGGTATTTGAAATACTGGTGGCAAAGCCTCCAGCCTCATAACAACATGCAAGCCACCACAGTGTAACAAACGGAGAGACAAGTGGGGAAAAAATATAAATCGAGATTTGAAATATGAGTCTAGAGCTCAGGAAAGAAGTAGGACTAAAAGTAAGGATTTAGATGCTATTAGTTCATGACTGTAGTTCAGCTATCCAGTTAGACTATAGGTCTAACTGGATCAAAGCTAGGTCAATGAAAACAACAAAACAGCACATAGTGTGAAAGAAAAAGAAAATTTTTCCAAGCTTTGACTTCAGAGATGGCATTCCCTCATCTAGGGACAAAAATAAAATAAGGATTACAGCTGAGCACAGGTGTCTGAGACACTATTGTCAGACCAGGTTAATCCAAGTCAAGGTGTCTAGTATAAAGATGCAAAACATATACCCAGAAATAAAGTAGAATCTCAGTTGTTAGACACAGCCAAACATTAGAAGAAGATGAGAACATATTGACTTGACACTGAGGTCCAGTGTTGAAGAAAGGGAAAGCACCAAGAACTTCATAAGGATAAGAGCTGTGAATTGTTGAACCAGAGTAAGACCTAACTCTTACCTCTGAAATATAAAGCAAAAATTGTTTCAACCTCTGAACAATTTTTTACATAACAGAGACAGATATTCCTCACATAATAAAATTAATTATTCTTTCTTCTTATAGAATCCATGTGATGATAAAAGACACAAAGATATTTGGTCCAGAGAGAAAACTTGTGACCACTTACCAAAATTCCTTGTGATTGGACCACAAAAAACAGGTACAAATTATTAATTGTGATGCTTGCATTAATTTTTTTTTAATTTTTACAAAACTTATTGTTATATGAAATTATTAGATTAGGTTTTGCCTTGTGAAATATTTAAGCATACAGGTAACTTCATTATTTAGAACTGCTTTTGATCCATCCCCATGGATCCTAATGATACCTACTAATTACACCTAAATACTAAAATCTTTAACTATAGACTTTAAAGCAGTTCAACAACTAAATCAAATCTTTTGAAAATATTTATTGTATATATTATAGTTCCTGATTTTTACTTTGCTCTTGTGTATGTGCTTGTATGTGTGTGTGTTTGCCTTTTCCCAATTAACTCCTGACTTATAGTTCAAAAAAGTGTTCTGGATAAATGCAAGGCTATTTTACAGCTTTCAATGAATCATCTCTTCAGAACCACTACCACTATTACTTTCAAGTACATTATATGTGTTTGTTTCAAAAATTGTTATGTATTAATACAATTTGGACTGATTTTCTGACACACCTGAGGTTTATCAGGCATTTTTTTTCCCTTATTTTATCAATGCTGAAGGACAACTATATAGGAATGTAGTAAAAGAGAGTGAAGGCATTTCACCAATGAGATGACACTTTCAATTAGAATATTTCATACTTTCTTCACTATGTGACAGTTTTATGCACTTTGCTCATGTCTTGATTAATTATAGTTTTTATTGAATTGATATATTTTGAATTCACTACTTTGACTAGAAGTCTTTTCATCAGTGACTACACGAACAATAGCACAATACAAACAGACACAATAAAATAAATCTGAACCAGACAATGATATTTGTAATACATGCAAGCAGATCATCTTCAAGTTTGAGGGCAAAATTTCCAGACTATTAGATATTGGTTGTTGAAATATTTTCTTCCTCCAGGAATATAAATTTCACTATAACAATAAGTTACACATGTGCAGGGAGGGGAAAAAAGCAGCGAGTATTTTCAGATATATCCCTTTTGTTGTTGTTTAAAATGTGCATAAATTTTCTACCAACTCCTTCTCATCAGTGCTAACTCTGGAATAACTTCTAAAAAAATAAAACATTCTTATGCTGTAAAATTATGTTTGAAATTTAATTTAAAGACATATCCTCTATCATTTATCAGTGAATGTTATTTTTTTCTTAGTTCCTCTGGAAAATTACATGTTAGTAAATGTAAATCTATTTTCTTTCTTGTTGTTCCTATTATAAAGACAATAAGTTAAACCTTTATATTTTAATATTTGACCTACCAGTACAGGAGTGAGAAAGCTTTTAGCTGGTTCTAAGACAAACAAAGAAATTGGATGATAAAAAATAATGATATGCTATCAAAATGTTATCCTAATATGAAAATGATTGTGGTAATTCTTACAATCCATTCAATCATAGTAGTATGAGTATTATTTCATTCCCTATTGCTTCAGTTGGTAAATCACAGCCTTCCTGCTGTTGGAGGCTGTTAATTCCTAGGTGAGAGTAGGGGATCACTGATAAATGCTAGGAATGGGGCTAAAGGCATCACTGTCTTTAAACAACAAAATGTGCTGCAAGCATCCCTTACAATAAACTTGAACTACAAAAGTGGTCTTCAAACTTCTATGTACTCAGATATTGTAAGATGAGAACAGAAGAACATGATATCCCATTTCTCCATCACTGAATCTTACAGGGGATTTCTGCTAACTGAAAGTAGATCAGAGATTAGAGGTAGAAGGAAAAAAAAAAAAAAAAAAGGCAGGAAGCATGACTGAAGCCAAGAAACCCTATGAGACAGTTGTACTCTGTTACAAGGGTTCAGAATTGGCCTGATGGCACCCAACAAAAGCAACATAGTAGCCTTGACCTTAAACTCAGTGAAATTACAGTCCTTCTCTGATCCTTTAGACAAATAAGCACCCATCATGACTCCGGATCAGATTTTGGGATTCCCAGCATAGGAGAGGATTTATAAAAGGGCCAAAGTTAAAACAATAATTCTGACAGCACTATGCATGGGCCTTAAATTTTCCAAAAGATGAGTGTTCTATTGTCAATATGAATTTCTCAAATTTGGCTGGTTTAACATCAGCACATGAAAACTAAAATTTGTCTTAGGTTAACACAAGGCTTAAAACCTTTTTTTTTTTTCCTTTTCAACATTATTACATCGAAGAAAATGGATATAAATAAATGGCAAGGATAGTAAATGAAAACACAGTTGATAATAGAAAATACGCACTTTTAGGTGTGTACCCAAATTTATGGCTGATTAGGATTATCAGAGGTCAAATAGTTTGTTCAACTACTAACCTAAAGGCTGGTGGTTCAAACCCACTCAGGAGTACTGTGGAAGAACAGCCTGGTGTTCTGATTCCATAAAAAAAAAAAAAAAAAAAGACAGCCAAGAAAACTCTGTGGAGCAGTTCTAGGCTATAACCCGTGGGAACACCATGAATCAGAATCAGCTTAATGGCAATGTTTTGTCGTTGTTATATCAAGTCACATGTCCACTGTCCCTAGTTAAAAGTGCTTTCTCCTTGCTTCCAGTTAGATGTCTCATGACATCTCTCCATCTCTGTGCAGTATAAAGATGTAGGTCTTTGTCTTAAGCTGGATTCTCTAGAGGAGCAAAACCAATGAAATCGAGCAAGCGAGAGAGAGAGAGTTCAAGGAAATGATCCACACAAGTGTAGAAGTTGGCAAGTCCCAAATCTGCTGGTCAGATGTCAGGCTGGAGGCTTCTCCTGACTCATGTGGTTGCAGGGACTAACAAACTCAAAATAAGCAGGTCAGATGGCAGGCTGTTGTCTTACAAGGCTACAACCACAGGGCAGGCTACAGGATGATTGTGCACATCCCAAGAACTGGAGGTCAATATTGAAAAGTTGGTTGCTGGATCAAGAGAGGCCTAGCTTTACCAAAATAAGCATAAACATTGGACTCAGTCCACTTCTCCAAGGAAACTCCCCTTTCAACTGATTGGCTGCTCACATCATATCACAAAATGGAGAATGATTATATAATATCTGCCAAACTACTGACCTTCATAGTTTAGTCAAGTTGACATATAATCTTAACCACCATCCACCTCTTGCCAACATATCCTGAAACCTTGCCTAATCTCTAGATAAAAACAATATCAAACTCATACTTGCACCTAACATGACAGAAATAACATGAGTACAACTAAAAGTGCACTAGTGCCATTTACATCTCATTTATAGTAAGTAAGGGAATAAAAGAGGGAGGAAAACAAAGATTTTCTATATACACCTACTCCTTACTTATCAACTTTCTCATTATTCAACATTTCACATTTATGGCAATAATAAAAATCTAATTTCCAACTATTTTTCACATTAACAACATATGTCTGCCAGTAATGAATACCAAGGTGTGAGACAAGAGTAATGTTGGCTATGATGATTAAGGTTATGTGTCAACTTGTCTTGGCCATGATTCTCAGTGATTTGGTAGTTATACAGTGATGTAATTTGGCAGTTATTTAACGATGCAGTCATCCTCCATTTTTGCATAATGATGATTTATGCATAATTACCTGCTCTTTGGGACCTAATCATGTGGATAAGTAAGGATTTGTTGTTTTATTTAGGTGACACCAAGTCAGTTCCAACTTCTAGCAACCTGTGTACAACAGAAAACAATACTGCCCAATCCTGCAGAACAACAATAGAACAAACACTGCCCAGCCCTGCACCGTTCTCACAACCATCACTAAGCTTGAGCCCATTGTTGCTGCCACTGTGTCAATCCATCTCATTGAAGGTCTTCATCTTTCTCACTGACCCTCTACTCTTCCAATCATTATGTCCTTCTCCAAAGACAGTTAAATTCTGATAGCATGTCCAAAGTACTTGAGGTGAATTCTTGTCTTCCTTGCTTCTAAGGAGTATTGTGACTGTACTTCTTCCAAAACAAATTTGTTCATGGAAGTCCAAGGTATATTCAACATCTTTTGCCAATACCAAAATTCAAATTCATCAATTCCTCAAGGAAAGAGTGGGTGTATATAAATACATACATACACATAGAGATACAAAAAACCAAGGAAGAAATAATCAAAACAATCAGTGTTCATTTTTTAAGTGGTCATATGGCCATAGCTGTCATTTAGAACTACCTTCTTCTACCAACAATTATGTATTTCTTTTGCTTTCCACAAGTACTTCAGCTGGGTGTGGTTCTTTGCCTGACAGAGTGACCCAATCCTTCATCCCTGTAGAATCTGGGCTATTAGTAGTCATGTCACAATTGGCTGCTGAAGTTTTCCATTGACTTTAATCACAGGGCATTGTAGTACTAAGAGGAGTCCTAAGGGATTTCCTGAATTCAAGACATAATCTTTATCTTCATTCTATAACATCAATTTGATTACCCTTTGGTAACCAGGATCAATCACATTAGCTAATATGATAATTCCCTTCTATTCCTGTTGATCCAAAGGCGTGAGTAGCCTGAAGTGGCTGGTGACATTCTTAACTCTAAGTTCCATGCAATCAGTGTTGTGTCCTCTGGTGGGAGCATTCTTACCTTTGGAACAAGACAGGGACAAGGTTTGGTTCCAGGAAACAAAAATTTTATGAAAGAGTCATTAAAAGTAATAGTTAGTAGTACCACTCCCATTTTCAGCCCTTGGTTCCGGCACCCATGAATCTCACACTTTCAGATCTCAAAACCTACTATCCAGCCACAGTAGTAGCTGTGCTCTCCAACTCACAGCAACCCTATGCACAGCAGAACAAAACACTGCCTGATCCTGTGCCAGCCTCATGATCTTTGCTATACTTGAGCCCGTCACTGCAGCCAGTGTGTCTATCCACCTCATTGAGGACCTTACTCTTCTTGCTTGACCCTCCACTTTACCAAGTTTGATGTCCTTCTCCAGGGAATGGTTCCTTTTGACAACATGACTAAAGTAGGTGAGACGAAGTCTGACCATTCTCGCTTCCAAGGAGCATTCTGTCTACATTTGCTCTAGGACAG